CGGCGCGTTGCGGCGGGGCGTCGTGGCGACGCGTTACAGCAGTGCGTTGCGGCAACGCATTGTGATATAGCGTTGCGAGACGTTTTGGCGGTGTGTTACGGCGACGTGTTGCAGTGGTGTGTCGCGGCGACGCGTTGCAAAGAAGAGTTGCGCTCAGGTGTCGCGACGGGGCAAAATTGCGTTGCAGCGATGTGTCGCGGCGACGAGGCCTCGGGGCGATGCGATGCTTTGCGGCGGTGCGTCGCATTGATGCGTTGTGGTTGTGCATTACGGCAGTGCGTCGCGACAGTGCGACAGATTGCGGCAAAGCATCGCGACGACGCGTTGCGGCGAAGCGTCGGGATGAAGCGTTGCAACGATGCGTTGAGTTTAAGACTATCATCCGAGACCATGATTTCCCAAGAAGAAGAAAGTAGTCCTGTGTATCGGTGAAGAGTTGCAGTGCAGCGTTGCGGTGAAGAGCTGCGACGCCAAGTTGCGGTGCTGAGCTGCGGCGAACAATTGCTATAAAGAGAAAATTCATCCCCGTCTTGCTTAGCAGACAAATAATGTGATGTTCTTTTTCGTCGCGGTGTATTTCGGAGGTGATGAAGACATGTAATTTTCCCTTCGCTCTATGAGGGAAATATTTTTATGCTTATATGGTGGCAATATCTGGAGACCCACTGATGATCATCAAAAGTATTGGAATTTTTGGGCGGCGATGCCGACTCTGCTCTAAGATGAGGTAATTTATTGTATCCCTTGTACAAGTATATGTTGGTATTTATAGCATTTTTAATCATCATGATAATGTTTTTTTTTTGTAGCTTTCACTATTGTTGTAGCATCTTAATCGTGCAAAATTCTGCAATTAAAGTTAGTACACATACTTTATTAAATAGAGAAATGTGTACCTTTTAAGACGCGTGCCCACTGATATTTTGCCCTCTCATGCTTATATCTTATAGGAGCTTGAAGTGAGCTGATGTCTTTAGTGGAGACCCTGTCACCCACTTGCTCTGTTGGAGTCTTTCTAGTGAGGACCCTGTCCACTGCTAGCTTCCCCTTGAAATTTAGGCTTGTCTTCCAGCGACTTGGTAGCTTCTTAACGAGTCTTGCCTTATAGGCTTAACTTCCAGCGACATGGTCTCATGGTTGAAAGGAAAATTCATTGAGGATGCAAGACCAGTTCTTAGTTGTATAACCGGTCAAGCTTGACGATATTAACCCGTAATGAACAGAGTCGTATGAAATCCATTGAGAATGGTTGACCTATCCTAGGTTGTTGGTCGAAGCTTTTGCTTGACCACCTTAACCTGTTATGGAAGAGGTTGAAGGAAATCCCATAAGGATTTTTGACTTGTCCATGACTGTATGTCGAAGCTTTTGCTTGATGACTATAGACTGTAATAGAATAGGTCGAAGGAAATTCACCAAGGATTTTTGGCCTATCCAAGGCTGTATGTCGAAGCTTTTGCTTAACGATTGTAGTCTGTAATGGAAGAGATCGAATCGAGATGCTCCGCGTTTCTCGAGACTGGGGTGTAGGTCGCATTGGACCGTATGTTTTCTTGGAAATGTGATTGTAGTCATGCTCAAGAAAAATGTTTGACAATTTGTTAGTTGGTTAGTTGCTGTTGTTAGTTGCTGATTTTGAGTCTTTTGCTCCACTAGCAGGGGTATTTCCATACGAGAAAAATGTTTTACAAGCTCGACGAGGGGACACTGAGGAAGCGTTATTTGTAGTGAAGATTAACCCCAGATTCCATGAGAGATTTTCAAAGACTTGTAATCTGAATGAAATATGAGATGACATCCCCACTATAATCGTGCTCGGGAGGTTAACAAGAACGACATTTCGAGACTGCTGTGAAGGTTGCCCTCCAACCTGGAAGAAATTGTGAAATACTTTGTGTCAGAATAAGATGTGAGAAGATAACCGTACTGCAATCGCGCCTTGGACGTTGACGTGAACGACCTTTCGAGACTGCAGTAAAGGTTGCTCCCCAGCTGGAAGAAGTTAGAACATACTTTGTGTCTGAATAGGATGCGAAAAGACAACCCCATTACAATCGTGCCCGGGACGTTGATGTGAACGGCCTTTCGAAATTGTAGTGAAGGTTGCCCCTCACATTAAAGAATGCTTTGGAGATGATCTTCAAGATGCAAAGAAGATTCCTTTGTGAATTGAATGATTTACATCATCGAGAAATGAAGTAGAAATTCGACATCTTAGATTTGAATACAGTGTCGAATGATACTTCGTTTCCCACAGATGGCATCAAACTGATGCGTGCTAGAAAATTCGCGGCGGTAGAGTAATGGATTATCGTCTTAGCGTTGCACGAGAATTCATCACACACTCAGATGAAAATGAATCAAATGAATCAAGTGAATCAATCTGTGATGATACTAGAAGTTTTTACGTGAAAACCTGTAAAGAGTGAAAACCACGGGGCCTGATCCAGTTGTAAAAATCCACTATAATTTGATGATTACAGATGTCTCTTGTCCCACAGGCAGGAAAGAGTTACTAGCTTCCCACGTTACAACGCCGATTGATGACATCTAGTAAACGGTGGTTGACGGAGGTCGGCAGTTATCGACGGTAGTCGACGACAATCGATGACGGTCAGCGATGACTGACGAAGGTCAGTGGTGACTGACGACAATCAACGGTGTCCGGCGGTGGTCGACAGAAGTCGGCGGTGGTTGTCGACAGTCAGTGGTGGTTAACGACGATCGACGATGGCGAGGATGATCTTGGACTTGAGTTCCTTCTCAAAACCTCAAGCTCTCTCTTAAGCCTCTCCTCCTCCCATGAGAGAGGTAAGGGTCTATTTATAGTATTTTGGATGTAATTAATGCAAGAATATGAACCATTTTAATCGGACGGTCTGGAGAGATTCTCTTGATCAGATGACGTTTGATGGACATTTGAGTGTCTTAACGATGTCAGAATTGAGCAATCTTGTGCTTGTTGGATTCGTCTTGTCGAGACGCTCGACGTCTTGTCGAGACGCTCGATTCTGTCGAGACGCTCGATTCGACTATGAACTCGTTAGATTCGACATTCGTTTGACTTTTCAAATGCTTTCGTAAATCCTCCAAAATTGATTTAATGATTTGATCTGGGATTGATTTGACTCAGATTGGAATGAATTTCATATCATTAGGTCCATCTCATCGAACCGATCAATTTGACTATAAGTTTGTTGAAATCAGAGCTCTGGATGACTCTTACTCGAAGTTTGAATGTTTCTTGTTTAAAAAATTATCTCGAGATTCGTGTCATGCATCAAGATTTGTGCACGATGATGAAAATTTGTTGGAGTCGTATCAATACTACGAAGAATGCATGATAAACATGATAAACTGGATGCAGTATATGATACATATAAGGGCAAGTAACGCATTTTGAAAAGTTAGATTAGTTATGCAGTCAGGATATGAAAAGTAGTTCTTCTCTGCTGTGTTCAGTGACCACTACCTTTTTTCGTGGCTTAGCTATTAATGTGAACTTTGAAGTCATTATCATTGATAGATGCGTGAAAACTAATATTCTCTGTAAACGGATGGACTCTATTTATTTTCTTCTATGAAGCATGCAAGAAATATGAGGTCCAAGATAATATACAAATTGGAAGAAATAACAAAGTTTGAATAAGATAGGATATTGGATTCAGTGAGGATACGGCTATTAGTTTATCATTGCGTTGCATGATATTAAGCTGTATTTATATCAATAGGCAGATTTCTTCACTAATGATAACGTGGATAGAATTTCTGCAAAATATTGTGCATAAGATGCTTATCACCTAACAAATAAATGGGGAGAATGAAGATTCATAAGGCTGACTCTAAATTGTTGGGGATTTGCTATTGATGATGATAGAATGCTAGTTGTGGCTTTAAAATTAGAGGATAAAGACGTGAATAAATGAAACAATTGTCCTGATGGAACTTGATAGGTAAAAAATATTAATAGAAAATGAAATGAGGATAAAAAACTCCAAATAATATCTCTTTGCCTTTGAAAATTTCATCATTTCAGTCTAATTTCTTTCAGTAAAACATGCCTTCCCCAATAAGGCTCCCATGACAATCTTTTGATTGCAAAACACGAACAACAGCAAATGACCCTTCATTGTCAATTTTCATGTTTTACAATAAAGAGGCTATTGTGTGGACCTTCTTTAGGGAAACCTGTTATACTAGAAAATATGATCTATATTTAGGTTCATCGGTTGGATTGTTATTTTTAACCCTTTCATGGATTTAATTATTTGTGTTTGCTTTCACATGCGAATAGTGTTAGAGATCAATGATCCTCTGTTCTACATAACTGCTAATTTATGGCTTTTCTTTCTGTTTCGTTGATGATGGTATTTTGCTTTGAATCTGGAAGCAAGCATGCAGTTGACTAAAGAATTGAGCGTTGCCATCATTGATAACAATCCTGCCTTAATATCAAGCGAACACTATAAGAAACATGGGGTACCTTATCCACGGGTCAGCACAGTGACTCCTGCAACATTATCTTTTTTCAAAGGTACAGTCATCTTCAGTTCTATCTTTCCATTTCTCTGTGGCATTACATTTTTGTATTGGTTTTGAGTAATAATTGTTGATTGCTTGTAAATTATGTTGGCTCATAATCCTAACTAGAAATTATTGCTTTGGCTGGTGCTAAGCTGACATTAGGCATTGAAATTTAAATTATGATTGATTCAACATCCAAAGTAGATGATCTTGTCTTCCACTGGTGATAGTTGTAATTTTATGCATTAATATTGATCTATTGCTTTAAATTTATCTCTCATCCTCTTAAAAGTGTATCTGATAGATTTAGCATATTTTTTAGTCTATGGATCTAAAGTATTATTTTATCATAATTGGATATGAGATCATATGAAGACGTGCTGAAAAACTTTTATTTGATTTGAGTATGGTTTTATATAGGACCTGTTAATTTATTGCTATGCTTCTTGGTGGCGAACTCTCTTATTCTTTGTTGATGGCCCAAGCTCGGAGAACCCGGTCCGGAAATTAGTTCCTCTTTCATATTCTCCTTGGTCAATGTATAGAAACAGTTATTATTTTATATATCTAGTTTTCTTGCCAAAATTACTAAGATAATGCATCTTCTCCTAAGTTGTCTAATCCAATCTTTTAGATGTTAAAGAGATGTATATTTTGGTGGAGGGTAGTTTGTAGTGTTGGTGGGAAGTTTAAGCTTAGAGGGATGGGAAGTTGGAATATTGTTGATTAAACAAGGTAAGGCCAAAAATAGGGCTTTGGGAGGAGATAGAGTTGAAAGAATACAAGTAAGCTGCTATTATAATGAGGAAGTTTAAAAGGAAATCCACTTATTTTTCAAATGCCAAATGTAAATGTGCTATTATTTATAGACTCATAGCAAAAATAAAGTGTTCTAAGAAATATTAGAAAGTCAAGCTACAATAAAATTCTTATTATATCTTTAAATTTGTTTTTCAATAAGATGTCATAAATCTATTCTAGGGGATTAATTGGGGCGAAGCATGCCTTCCATTCTAAATCACTTCAAGTTATGATTTAGAGGATATTCTTTGCCAAGATTGGAACTATTTAATATAGTGGAGATTATAGATATCATGAGAATATGCTAAGTAATTGATTTTTTATGAGGGTAGTATGCCATTCATACCTAGAATTAGGGTTGTCAATTCGGGTCAGAAGGTCGGGTTTGAGTCCTACCCGAAATTGACCCGATCTGAATAGGTATGACCCGAACCCTATCAGAATATTATATGGGTCGAAAATTTCGAACTAAACTTGACCCACCAACCGAATTTGACCCGTATAACCCATTTAACATAAGAGACCGTTATTTGAGTTTAAAATGGGCCAATTTTGGGTTAGTTCCGAGTCAGCAGGTCGATTTCAAGTCAATTTAGGGTTGGCGTGTCATTTTTGGGTTAACACAAACCTGACACCGAAAATTAAATGGGTTAGTATCTTTAATCCGAACTTGAACCGAAAATTATTCCAATCAATCTGAATCTGAATTTTTTTATTTGGGTTCGGGTGCTTTTCGGTCAATTTTTGACACCCCTACCTATAATAGTTACTACCCCCTAGTGAAGGAAGGAATTGAATTTTTAATTCCAAAGTGCCAAAGTAGCCAATATTTGTGTTATAGATGGACCGAACTCTAATATCATATGCTTGTCCTCTTCATGAAAATGATCTACTGCAAGTCTTTAGATCGTCCTAGGTGCAAGGTTTTCCTTTATTTTTCATGCCTTAAAAAATGGAATAGGCTTGACAAATGAGCAAATTACTTCAATGTCCCATATGTCGATGTTCTTTGTGTACTTATATATACGATTGTGTGGCCAGGCTACTCATTTAACCAGTAAGTTTGCTCCTTAAAAATTCCTTATGATTGAACACATTGAGCATGCTATTAAATGGCCCTACTCTTAGACACTCATGGATGGCCATTATTACATTTATAGTTTCGTTTTGTCACTACTAACCAGTGCCAATTATTGTCTGAATCAAAATAAAATAAAAATAAGGAAGATTTACATACATAGCACTCAATTCTTATGTATCTGTATATCTGACACCTAAACTTCAATATTTACATATATGCCACCCTACCTATGCATTGAAAGGTGTATTTCACTTTTTAAAACTTAAAATAGTGATATTTTTGATGTGATATACTAGATTTGTGTGGCATAAATGTAAAAATTAAACTTTAGTTGTTAGATATGTAAATACATAAGATTTGGGTGGTATGCATGTAAATGCCCAAAAAATAATATTGAAAAGTGGGTTTGAACCCATGAGCTATTGAAAGTGAAATTAAATACTTATTGATAAACCAAAAAGTTTTTATTTTCACATGCATTAATCGAATGTGTTGAAGTTTTGTTGTTTCAAATGAAATTTGGTTAATTCGTTGTAAACTCAAAATGATTTCACAATTTTGAGCCTAAAAGTGGCTAAAACAATTAACCATCACTAATGTGTGCTAGCCCAAGCCTATAATAAGTTTTGAAGGCCTTAATTAAAAATGCTGGACTAAATTGAGGTTATCTTTTCGTTAATGTTTATTGTTAGATTTAAGGCAGTTCTTTAACTATGCTCTTCACATATGTTGAAATAATTTAGTTTTCTGAAAACGTTGATGAGATTGGATTTTTTTTTTTCTTGTGTTGTAATTGAAGCTTTGAGGAATGGCCTGAATCGTCAAGTAGGATATGTTTTCTTTTGTAGCAGACAGAGAGCTTTTTAAAATTATTTTTTGTTGAATAATGTGAAATCCTGATATTTTCTTATGCAATGAGAAGATATTTTAGTACAAGTTAACATATTGGAAGGTAAAATTTGGTTAGAGGTCACAATTCATTAAATTTGAAATCATGCTTTCATCTATTCCTTGAAAATTCTATTAATTATGATCGCTGTATTTATTTATATTTTTAAATTTGGTACAAGGAATCTATTTCATCTATTTTCTTCTGTTTAGATAGTCTCTTACATTTTTTTTTGGCAATAACAAATATTGTTTTTATTAAGGTGAAAATGAATTGGATTTAATTTACTATTGCAGAGGTCGGTGCATGGAAGTACATAGAGCAACAAAGGCATGCTTATTTTGATCAAATGCAGGTGCTTTAAGGGTCAAACTCTCCCTTGTTTAACTATTTTTATTTGCCAAGGTTATGAGAATTTTATTAGATATTATCAATTAGAGAGAGTCGTCTTAGATGGTTTGGTCACATTAAACGTCGGCCATCTGATGATCCGATTATGAGTGAGAGTAGGTAGATGTTTTAGATTTGACTTATGTTAAGAAAGGCAGAGGCAGACCTAGGAAGACTTGGACTTATTGTATAAAAAATGATCTTAATTTATTAAACCTAATGAAACTATGACACTAAATAGGACGCAATGGAGAAAAAAGATTCATGTAGCCGACCCCACGTAGTGGGATTAAGGCTTTGTTGTTGTTGTGTATCAATAGAGACGCAGGTCGCTATGTGAACATTAATGAACGGTCTCCTTGAAGTAATAAGAAGAAATAAGCGTAATGTGTAATTTATTTCAGCAAATGGATTAACAGGCACTATTTTTAATTGATGATCTTGTTTTTAAGTATCATTTTGGAAATATATAGCTACAATTTTTCATAGAAATCCTTGTGCTCTATTTTACTTTTGTTCGCTTGTGAATAATTTTTCCTCAGTCATTGGATTTATTTCACAATCTAGGGGACAAATCATTGTATTTTACTTTTCAATTCTAATTTTTGCCCAAGGCTACTAACAAACTTCATTACCCTTGCACGTATCGTAACGACAAATTTAAAAACATTATGGATAAACCTATGTTAGAAGATTAAGTTAAAGTCAAGGTTTGTAGTGTTCATTCTTTAGGATAGGAAAAATTGAGTATGATTCAAATTACAACAAAAAAATCTAACATTTTTTGCCCTATTCAAAGAAAGAATAGTTTAGCAACATGATTTTCTTGCTTTATATTCTATGAGAATTAAATGAAAATATGACATTCAATAGGACACAATGGAGAAAAGGATTCATGTAGCCAACCCCACATCGTGGGATATAGGCTTGTTGTTGTTGTTGTATATTCTATGAGAAGGCAAATTTGCCTTAAATTATCTTAGTAATTCATAGCATAGGATTTTTGTTGAATTCTAGACATATATTTATTTGTTTTTCTAGGATTATTTCTTATACTAATTAATTTATTAGTGAAATAGTACAAGAAAAGAATGTAGATATTAAAATGAAAGAAAAAGCAAAAAAAATTTCTGCTCCTTGACTATGTATGTTTCTGTATGTAATGAGTTGGTTTTAGCATAAACAAAACATATTGCTTTGGCTTTTTTTTTTTTGGGTTTCTAATGATATGTGCATATATTTTGCTTTATATTTCTATTCTCAATTCATTTTTGTAATCATATCCTTCCAATGTTAATTTTTTATATATTTTTGGAGATCCATATGGATCATGTCTAAGGAGCTTGATTAACCATGATTTGTATTCTCTTTAATATCTCAAATGGATTAGGGCGAAAGTTTGTATTGAAGACATACTTTTGTGATCGATGTTGGCTCATGTCCTACCAGAGGTTTGCTGTATTCTTTGATTATATGGTTTAGAGGTACACAACATGTTAAATTTTTTAGTGGTGTCTAGTATAAGCTACACGTTCTTGGAGACATGGTATGAGGTTAGCAAAAGTATGAGTTTGACTCATTTAAGCATGTCTAAGATATATAGGGACAACATAGATCCTTAAATCCAAAGATCAGGTGAAGATTTTTGTCCAATATGAAAGTGGAAGCTTGGTTCACTTCGTTGGTATAGGGGTTTGTCATATCGGTTTGGGTGAGCGGCTTATAGAGGCCATCACGAACTGTGTTTTAGAGTTATTTAATATAACTAATGACGGTTTATAAGCAAGATATAATCAATCTAATTTATGGAGCAAACCTTAGGTTTCCCTTTAAGGGTGATGTCTTGGCATACAAGATATGGTTTTATGTCTGAATTGCATTTATGTTATATAAAATGGCTTTGTATTTTTATTTGTTATGAAAAATAATAAATCTAATAATTATACATTAGGAAGCATGAGATCTAATTATAAGATCTTTCATCTATTAGATATATTCTTAAACTATAGAAATTTCAGTATATATAAATATGTAACATATGTTTTTAATTCAAATAAGAGAAAGAGTTATTTTTCTTCACATGATATCAGAGCCACGCATGTCTCATCGCCGATAGTCTACTCCTCGGTCTGGCTTCGTTCTCCGCATGCAAGTGTGGATTGGTCTGTGTCGTTTGAATCATTTGTTTATATGTTGAAGATGAATGATTTGGTGAATAGTGGGTGTTCGTCTTGTCGAAATTGTTCGCCAGCCAACTCCATTATTCGTTACTTTCCTAGACATAATTAGGCTTCATCCAGTGACGTCTCAAGTGCAGTCGTCCATCGCGAGTGGTCATCTTCTGTGGTGTTCTTAACGCTTGTTTACTTGGGTGATCGTCGAACTAGTCATTGAGTTGTTTATCTCCTACGGCTCGATATAATTCTTCTCAGGCGTTTGTCTCATCCTTCGGTTCTTTCGTACCTTCTAGTTCATGCTGCCGCATTGAGGAGTCCATCCGAAAGCGGTTCGACTTATTGTTTTGCCTGAAACAAACAATTCGATCATATCATATGAGATTAGTTTTGCCCTATCTCCCATTTCAACAAACAACATCATAGGGATTAGTTAATTCGGTCTCATTGAATATTTTGTGATAATCATGACGGTTGAACAAAAATATGTTGTGACAAGTTTAGTTTCATTAATGACTAAAATTACTGATGAAAAGTTAAATAATGTCAATTATTTTTATTGAAATAAAATTGTGAGACGACTTGAGAAGTATTTCTCGAGACAATCACATCATTGATAATCCCCCAATTGAGACTGATCTGAATTATTCTAAGTGGATGAGAATCGATGCCAACTCTCGATACAAATGCAAATTTCTATCAAACCCGACTAATTTGATAATAATATTCATTTGACTATATTAAAGATGTGATGTAGGAATTGACACTTGTGTTTACTACGGAAAAAAAAATTCTAATCTTTGATATATGTAAAGAATTATATTGAGCTGAACAACATGATCAATCCCTTAAAAATTATCACAAGCACTTTAAAAGTGTTCGTGAAGAATTGAGTATATTATTACCCTTCAGTACTAATGTCCGTATTCAACAGACTCAACTGATCAATGATTATTATGAGTTTTGTAGCTGGCCTTAACACTCAATATGAAGGTGTCAAATCACAAATCCAATCTGAATCTGGAGTTACTACTCTGAGGGAAGCATATATTAAAGTGTTGCATACTATTTTGAGTTTTTTCATGTTTCATTTGTACAACAACTTAGTGCTATTGTTAGATAAAAGAATACAAACTCTGGTAATCCTCATTCTCAGGGTAATTATAGAAGTGGAACATCGAATTATGGAAATCAAAGCTTGAGGGTAGTTAGCTACTACTATCAGGAGCCCGGTCATACAAAGAGAACATGTCAGAAGTTGCTTTAAAAGAATTAGAAAGGTTCTAGATCACAATCAGTTTACATGGTCACTGTTGTTGAGGCCTCTCAACGTTAGACTTAATTTATGCAGATGAATATGCTAAATTCCTATAATTTTAGGAAGCATCCAAGGAATCTTCCTCAATCACTGCCATCGTTGAGTCAGGTAATAATAATACTAGTCTTCTTTTCTCTTTCACACCATGAGTCTTTGATATTTGTGCTACATCTCAAAGGACATGTAATCCATAACTCTTTCTCCTTTCATAAATATTTTTTTCCCATCACTTTAGTAGGTGGATCTACCTCTAATGGTCTTTGTTTTGGCACCATCAGTATTACACCCATATTGCCTTTAATTTCTGTTCAGAGTTTACTTCTATTCTTTTTTAACCTTGTCTTTGTTAACAAAATTATGCGTGTTTTTAATGTTATATCGTATTCTTTCTTAATCATTGCCTTCTTCAGGTCTTACGGTGAAGAAGATTTTTTGTAAGGATGAGAGTGGGAGCTTTACATTTTGGATAACAAACTATCTATCCATAACCTGTTTCAACTTCTTATCTTCTTTTGTGGTCCATTGTCGATTGGGCTATCTGTCACCACCAATGCTAAAAAAATAATTCTATAATTTCAACAATTAGCATTTTTAGATTATGAGTTGTGACAATTTGCGAAACACTATCGTTTGTCTTCTGTTTCTAGAGTAAATAAAAAAGTTAGTTATAGTTTTGAGTTGGTTCTGATATTTGCGGATCTTGTTATGTTTTATTTAATGTATTTCGATATTTTGTCATTTTTGTGAATGATTTCTCTCGTATGACTTGACTTTACTTTATAAAATCTCATATTGAGTGACTTCCACATTTTTTTGCGCTAAAACTTAAGCTCAATTCAATGTTTCGATTAAGATTCTGAGCGAGACAATGGTAATTATATTTTTTTACCTTTTCAGTCATACATGACACAAAACAAAATGATTCACCAGCCATCCTGTGTGGATACTTCATCTCAAAATGGAGTAGGTGAAAGGAAAAATAGGCATCTCTCTTTTGTTTCAAACTAATCTGCCCAAGAGTTCTGAGTTGATGCAGTTTCTACTGCATATTTTTTGATCAATCAGATGTCTTCTACTATTTTACAGAACCAAATAGCCTACCAATTTTAATTTCCAACTAAATCTTTCTGTTTCTTTGAATCACGTTTGGATGTACTTATTTTGTTTGTGACACTCATCCACAAGTTTCTTAATTTGACTTTAAGTCATTTAAATGTGTTTTTCTAGTATAGTCTTGTTTGTGAAAAGAGTATAAATGTTTTTCCACTCTCTTAGACAAGTATAGGTTTTTTAATGATGTTATCTTTCTTGAACAAACCCCATTCTTTGGTAACTCATCATTGCTTAAATCCTCATAAGATTCTGATGAGTTGTTAATGTATCACATCATCAGTTCAAACCATGCTCTAGCTCCATCTTCACCACCAATGCCTCAGCCTAGACCACTTATCGCTAGCCTTTACTCTAGAAAAC